AATTTAACATTTTTCACAGCTTTGCTATTCTATCAACTTGCTAACACGTTCACTTTTTTGCAGAGATTTCACCTGTTCAATTTTAATATTTTCAAACAATCTTGAAATGCAAACAAGGCAAACAACGTAGGCACTTGTCAAAATTAAATTCTGACTGAGTTTAAGCATGAGCCAGATTTTGACATTCACTGAAATTGAATGACCAATGTTAACACCATAAATAATTAAGTCTATTTTGGGTGAGAAGAAATTGATAGATTTCTAAAATTCTGAGATAAAATATTTAAATTGTTCTGCACATCTCAAGACTTTTTTTTTTTTTTTTTTTTTAAAGTTTTGGCTGATACAGTCTTTGGCCTTCTTCAGATGCTGGTTGCATCTGGTAATCTTGAGAGAAAGTCACTTTATAATTTTTCATTTTCTTTCTCATTTCCTTGACTTTAATACCATAATTTGTTATGTCACATTTTGTGTCTATGAGACAATAGTTGGGAAGATCCCTACTTGTTTTCAAAGAATTAGCCATTTATAGACTCCTCATACATGATGCATTCAGAGCCATATAGAAACAAATACACAGAAAAACTAAAGTCAAGTCCCATTTAATATTAAGGACTATTAAAATGGAACTAGTGGATTAAAGTACATGGTTCATGAATTTGGTGATATATTAATTGTGAATTCAATCCCTAGGCTAGGCAGTATATACTTTAATTCAATGGAAACAGGGCAAGCAATAAATGAGCATTAGTAAAAAAAAAAAAAAAAAAAAATTAGATGAGTTACCTCTTAGACATGGGAATTGGAACAGTCCACCACCCTTACCTAAAGGGTTCAGTTTGGAATTACCTCTAGATTATCCAGATTGATATACTTCTGGAGGTCACGACGACTGAAATGTTATGATAACAACAAAGATAAGGACAATAATCTGAATATATAAACAGTGTAAATAATATTAAAGGATATTTGAAAATGTTTTCTTAGACACAGTGAACTCATGCCTCTCCTATCAGAGGTCAGTGAAGGGCCTATTTTCTTTTAATTTGTTTTCATCTTAACAATAGACTTTAATGTTAAATCCTGTGTTAGTTTTGTTGAGATGAAAAAAAAAATGAAGTATGGGTAGTAAATTGAATTAATTTGTCAACTAATGTAATGTCAACTGAAATTTTATGTTTAAAAACAGATGAAGAAAATGTGGAATAAAAATATAAGATGACATTCACTAAATCATTTAACTATGGCATTAAATGGCTGGCATTAAATTTTGAGACATGCTGTAAGCGGGGGCCCATTTCTCTCTTGTACTGAAAACTGATTAATCAAAAATCTTTTGATTCCAAAATTCATAGCATGAAATTTAGGACTGTTTTGAAACCATTTAAAAATGTACAGGCTTAAAGGGTTTTCTCAATATTTTTTTCTAAGAAAAATGACTTAAATAAAGTAAAGTCATTTTTTTGCTTTTCTTTTTCATAGGTGGGGGAGGTTAAAATAAAAATTACATTTTTACTCTTTACTAAAATTCTTTATTTCATAGATATTTTTATTGATGGTGGATTTGAATTTTGTAGAAATTTTTTGATTTGTTTCTTATTTCTAATCTTTAAAAATCTCTTTTCACTCTCATTTAAATGATAAACAACATAAACTTTTTTTTTTGTCATTTTCTGAATTGTCCCAAGGACTTAATTGGGATCAGCCAAACATTTAAATTTAGAAAGAGTTGCTATTAGTACTTAATATCTTTAATAGCTATTAGTACTTAATATCTTAATATTTGCAAACATAATGAACATAATATTTGCTGAATGCATTGTCATTAAAATTTAAAATAATGTGTTCATGAAATAAAGGCTCTTAAATCCTTTGCCAGTATCACTTGCATTTTTGATTTTGATTTTTTTTAACCGAGTTATATAATCTGAAAAGTTTTATTATTGTCAAATGGTAAAATTTTAATATTTTCACAAATAATCGCATCCAGAATATTTTAATTTTTAACATTTTTTTGTTTTTCCAATAATCATCCCAAATAGCAAGACATCCTGAGATTTTCTTGTATTAAGAATTCTTTTTTTTTTTTTTTTAACAGATTTAATTTCTTTTTGTTAGGTGTTTTAAAATCTTTTTTTTCTTTCCTTCTCAAATACATACCATTTTGATGAATTTGATAGCAGTTGTTATCCAAAATGGGAACTCTCTCTCAGGTTGTACACTATTTAAGCATTAATCATTATTTAGATTGCAATACTTGAAAAAAGAAAAATCTTTTAATGAGAAACTGATTAAATTAAAATTGCACAACCTACATTTAGGCTTTTCTCAAGGTTAAGAGAATGAAAATATGTCTCAACCCAAAATGGAACTTTACCAATTCCAAATCCTGATAATCACCAGAATAGTGATATTCTTTCAGTGTCTAGATGGAAAAGATAGGAAACTGTTTCTTTTTATCAAGACAATTTATAATCCTGTAAATTGAGGCTTAAATATAAATTGAACTTGATAGCGTTTTTAGTATGGATTCTGAAATCAGATTTTACACTAGTTAAAGAATACAAGTTATTAAAAAAAAAAATAACTACTAAGAGTACTGATCATTTGAAATTATTAGTTACCAATTTAGATGTGATATTTGTGCATTTGTATATAAGTTTGTGATTTGTTCTGGGAATAAGGAACCATTGCCTTGTCTTGATTGAAAGCCAATAAGAATAATTTGGAAAAATAAAGGCAAAAGTGTCATTTAAAATCTTTTCACAATATGAATGAGTAATTAATATTTTGTTTAGGTAGGGGAGGGAGTACAATTTTTTTTTTTTTTTCTTAAGAAATCCATTACTAACTATACTTACTAAATACTAAACTTTATTTATTTTTATTTTTTTTTCTGAATGTTTTGATTTTTTTTTTTTTTAACTTTTTAGTATGGATTCGAAAAGTAGTTTAACTTCAGACCAAAACTTTTATTTACTTCATTACTTAATAAGATAATATAAAAATTCAAAAATATATATATATATATATATATATATATAAACAATGAGTAATTTCCTTTCTCTCAATCCAAAATATTACCTTGTGTATTAATCTTGACAACAACTCGAACCCTCACCTCAAATTTTGTTTGATAATTTTCTTCTGTGTAATCTTGACTTTGTATAACAAATACAAAACAATAATCAAAAAGAATTCAATGTTATTTCATCTTAAGAATGCACGGCTAAAATCTTCTCTTGAAATCAATTTGTCTTTTTCTCTCAGTAAAATAAGCAGAGGAAGCATATTCATTTGAAACTTACTGATTCTTTTTTTCTTGTATTTGGTCAAATAGGGTGATATAATTAAAAAAAAAAAAAAAAAAATGACTATAATAGTCCATATATAAAATGTTATTAAAGCGGGTTAAAAAACAAAAATGCTTTCTTTTTTCTTGTCGACATCTATAAACAGAAAATAACAATTATTCTTCTTCAAAAATGACTGATATTTCTCTATATAGGAATTATCAAACAATTTAGGAGAAAAAACAAGGAGGCCATAGTCAAGATCATCGATTGTAAACTCTACAATCCTTTCTTTAGCTGCATAGGATGTGCTTCACCGAGGCTGCGTACGATTTTGAATTCATAATTGTCCTTCTAGACTGACTGCCAATGAAGAGCCCAATCTGTTCTACGATTCAACTCTTAGTTTGGGGGAGAAGAGGTTAATTCATACCTTTTCACAAGTGTATTTGCGCTTAAGTATGTGCAACAAACTTGATTGGGATTCAAAATCGACTCTCGAATTTATTTTTCCGAGCTACTCTCCATTAAACCATCTGCACATTTAGACTTTCTCAATTATTGAAAGTCTCGTTGCAATCAGTAATTAAAGTAAACCTCTTCCAAAATCAACAGAAAGGGTTTTCATCTTATCTCTTCCTATATAATGATCACATTCATTTTGATTTGGTTTTAACAGCTGGATGGATGTGTGGGTGGTGTAATGGATAGTAACTCAGAATGAGAACTCAAAGAACTGTGTTTGAATTCCTGTCAGGTTCATTACATTCACTTATGCAAAAGTACTCTTTGGAAAGGTATGATCCATCTCCCTGCAAGATATGGATTAAATAGTCGGACTTGCATCTGGAAAAATCATTATTCTCAAAAAACTGCTGATTCAGTATTCACTCTCAAAAAAAAAAAAAAAGTTACAATCCCAAAATGTTTCGGATTTAAATAACCCACAAAAGGTTGACTATTCAAAAAAAAAAAAAAAAAACACATCCATTTCAACAGCTAAAAATGCAAACTTAAAACAGTTAGAAATCGGTTATTTGACAAGATATTTTAGACATTTTTTTTAATAAGGAAGACATTTGAATTAATCTATAAGAAATGTTATTTACATTCTAACAATTTTTGCTCTTCCTTTCTTACTATTTTGGTACAAGACTAGATACAATAATGTTTGTTTTGTTCCATTAGTGGAGGGAAGACATGACTGCTTTGAAAATCATCATTTGAAATCATGGTTTTTAACTGGGCTTGAACAAAGTCAGGCAAACTGAAGAAATAGCATAACTATTTCAGGCTTTCTCTCTCTTTTTTTTTTTTTTTTCTTATTACAACTGCATTCTATAATGACAAAATTTTATTGATGAAAAAGAAAGCATAAGCACAAAAAATTAAACAGTGTAAATAAATTAAAATGAAAGATGGAGTATTAAGATAATGCTTTTTTAATTTGACATTTAAAAAGGAAAAAAAAATAATGGAGGTGTGGGAATGATCTTGAAAATTTAAATGGCTTCCTCTCTTTTTGGCTCCTGATAAACGAACACTGCTGTAAAAATGTAGCATTAAAACTTCTTAATAGGTTTACCTGATGCATTTCTTTTTTTTTTTTTTTTTTTTTAAAGGGCTAAATATATATTTTTTAAGAATCTTCAGCTCACTATGATTATACTTGTTGCTTGACACACTGCATGAATTTGTATTTTTTAGCTCCCCTTACTCTTCCCGGTGAACGCTTTTGGGATGTGTATGTGTCCTTCCTGTCATCAACCACTGACGTCATCATCCGTCTGGTTGGGGAAAATTACTCTGTGAGTATTCACTAATAATAATCTATAAAACAAAAAATGTCTGTGTGTATACTATTTATGTATGTCCACATTTCTCAACCAATTTCGATGAAATTGTACACACATGTACCAAGATAGGCTAGACCAACTTTTCAATCTCCAGGCGCCCCAGGGTTTGGCAGAAAAATTGATAAAATGACTTTTTTCAAATACCAAGGCAAAGTTACATGTAAACAAAATTTTTACTGCAAAAAAAAAAAAATGTAGCAAAAAATTTGCCATCACGCAAGAAATAAGACAGTACAGTTTTAGTCCTGCTCACTTCCCTGCATATAATCAAAAACTGTTCAAAATCCCGTTTTTCTGCCATAACTCCCTGGTTTTTCATCTGATGCTTTCCAAATTTGCTATGTAAATTACATATGACACACATATTGTCTTGCACGAATGTTTGGTTAAGATTATTTCAGTTAAATTGACAAAATCTACAACAAACAAGGTCCAAAATCAGCTTTTGTCAAAAGCCAAAAGTTTCTTCATATCATTCCATCCTAAATTGGCATTCAAATAATCTTTGATGCAAAGATTGTTTGAGAAGGATTATTGAAGCATTAAGAGAAAAATTTCTGAAGAACCTTTTATTAACCCCAGCTTTACAGTAAACGTGCAAAGAAGTAGGGAGGCATTCATGTTTTTGCACTTGCAGTTGAATCAATATTTTTGTTTATTAGATTTGTGAACAATGCCATACTATTTGAAAATTATTACAGCCATAGGAAATTTACTGAATATCTAAAACATTGAAACAGTTTAATCCTGAGCAATGACCACACAAGGTTTTATCAATGGATTCCCTTTATTAAGAGCAATCAAATACTTGCAAAGGATATACCATAAAAAAGGGGTGGGGAGTTGTTTAGTATACCAAGGAATGGTGCATGCAAGTGGGGATGCAGACAGACATTTCTAGACAGTGGTGCGGGTATACAATTGCAGCCATGTACACCTGGGCAGTGCTGGGTACCTTGGCTAATATATATATATATATATATAATGTGTGTATTTGGGCAGCATCCCCTCTTTTATACAAGTTTTATTAAAGAAACTGACAAGGTGCTGCAGTTAAGTTCTTTATTTAATTGTCCTTGTGTTCTTATAATTTTCTTTTCTCTACATAGATTATGTAGAAATTGCCTGAATGTTCTGTATGTCCGAGCACTTTTGACTAAAAAAAAAAAAATTAAAACACAGTAGCTTGTCAGTCATTTTTAATAGAATGCAATGGAATTATCTAGAAGCATATCACACTGGCTTTGGCTTTGAGAAATATATGAGAGTCTCAGTGGGATGTTGGTCTACCCGCAGTACTGCATGCCATAAGATCTTTACTCTATACTGCTACAAACACTACATCTCAAGAAATGATATTTTCATATCAACGCAGGTCACGTAGTAGTCATTCCTTACGCACTTGGCTAGCAGCCCCTGGTTTGGTTCTCTTATGTCATAATATGTCCGTGCTAATAAGTACAAACTTTAGTTGACAAGGTTCGGCTGTTAGAATCTAATTCCCAATGTGTCACTGTAAGATTTAATGATGGACGTGAGTCTACTGTCTCTGTGCATGATTTGGTTCCAGTTGGAACAAATGATCAGGAGGTACCAAAATTTAAAGAACAAGATACTCTTGTGGAAAAGAGCACCACAGAAATGGAGGAACCTGAGTCAGATATCCATTCTAAACAATTGAGTAACCATGAAATACATTTGCTGGTGCCCTCCAACTCTGAGGACCAACATTCTACTCTGATTCCTGAAATTCAGTGATACTAAGACAATCTTTGAGGAATCAAAGAAAACCATTACGATATCCAGGACATTAAAAAAAAAAAAAAAATTAATAATGGAGGCAAAGAATGTCATAAGCATTGACATCCCTTGATTTGGACTCTTCCAGAATTATCCACATTTTGCTGTACTTTACACACATATATAACACAGCAAAATCCAAAATTACCTCATATGGGGAGGGGGGTAGATCTATTTCAACAGACAAAACTATGTCAGTCTTGTTCAACCCTGGTGTATAGACTGTCTATATGCTCTGTTATATTGAGCTCTTTTGTGGATCAGTTTTCATATTTTATATTACTATGATCCACTTGGATTATATATATATATATATATATATATATATATATATATATATATATATATATAGTACAGGCAATAAATCTGTTGGTATGTAATCCAAGTGGATCCTAATAATATAAAATATTAAAACTGATCCACAAAAAGACCTCAATATATTATAACAGAGCATATAGACAGTCTATACACCAGGGTTGAACAAGACATAGTTTTGTCTGTTGAAATAGATCTACCCCCCTCCCTATATAAGGTAATTTGGGATTTTGCTCTGTGTATATATATAGTTTATGAAAAACTCTGTAATCCATATGGGTAAACCCAAGGAGGATGTAAATCCAGAGCAAATAATTTAAATAAAAACAGACCACTTTAAGGTTCCATGTAATAAATTATTTCACCACAGCCCTTTTAAAGGACTGCCGATCATCAGACTTTACTTCCAAAGGTTGAAACAAAAAAATGAAAAGAAATTTACACATTTTTGATGGGCCGTATTAAACATTATGATTAATACGGCCCGTCAATAAATATATATATATATATATATATATTATTTTTATATGTATAAAAGATCTTTTTTAATTATATTCTTTGTACTCTTATCTGCTTTTTGCCCTAACATGGGCCACTCTGTTTATTAAAGCCTTCATCAAGGTACTTCTTTAATTCTTTTCCTTATTATAGGTGTCGGGGATCCTAAGCATTAAAGTATTTAGTGCTATTTTAATGCCATATCCTTTCAGCATGGAGGCAATCATGGCTCTTCACAGATTCCTTTTCTTTATTATCTGTCAATTGGCATTATTGCTTGGGAAAGCTAGTCAAGTGGTTTCCCATTGCCTTCTCTATGATTTTAAATTCAGTTCAACTTGATTACTATTCAAGGCTATTGAGCACAGTCTATGTTGATGATTAACCCCAGGAGGCAAAGAGAGATGGCTTAATGTCTTTCCAAAGAGCATTTGTATGAAAGTTGACCCAGGAGGCTGAGCTGGAATTTGGATTTTGCTCTCCAGTTTTACTTACCGTGCCAATATCCATTTACACCACATCTCCATTTATTTATTTAGTACATACTAAATTTTAGTTTTCCTAGTATGTCATCTGATAGTTTTTGTCAGACTGTAAAATTTAAAAAAACAAATTCCCATTTAATTACCGATGTTAAATTCCTAAACAATCAAATCTACAAAAGTTGAGGTCTAATTGTTGTTACTTTCTAATAGCATTGACAGGGGAATCTGGATTCAACTTTCTAATTTGTTAATGACAATTAGAAATGGTTATAAATCATTTACTTAAAATCTGAATGTTTGATGTGCTTCAAATAAATTTAAAAACTTTTGAAAGAAGAAAGAAAAAATTGGGAATTTCAGGAAGATTGTCTGAAATGCAATATACTTTACAGCTTGGTCAATTTAGGTTGTATTTTCAAAACTGACAAATTTGAATTTAATTTTTTTTTCCATCTTAGGATGAGCTTGAAAAATTAGAGAGTGATATTGAAAAATGGTTCCCTGATGCTCCAGAGGAAGCAATCCGTGAAGGAGCTGTATGTGCTGCCCAAGTTGATGGCCTTTACCATAGAGTCAAGGTACTTGGACTGAAAGGTAGCAGAAATAAGGTAAGAATCACTTTATTCTTTGTTCTACTCTCAAAGTCTGTTTCCACTCTCAAAGACTACAGGTTTTTGGGAGCGGGGGGGGTGGGTAGCTCTATGAAAAGTTGTAGTTGACATTACCATGAAAACTGATGGTCCTAAATTGGTAAGCCAGGAGATTTTTTTTATTAATATGGTGGTTGATGTGAATGAAAATTTGACTTTATTAATTAAATATTGATTACCTACAAGCATGTCATTTTTAGTATTACTCTTGTAGTTTATCTGAAGAACTTCTGATAAAAAAAAAAAAAAAGTTTCTTTTTTGGTAAAAAAAATCTCAGCTAATTGTAATATATGCATTTGTGGGAAAGGCCTCTACAAAGGTAATACTTAATATTTATTTTCATAGCAAATACAAGATACAAAGAGCAGCATAACACTGTGGATAGAGCAAGTTTTCAGCTACAAAACACTATTTTCTGCACAGTCACCACCAATGGCTACTGCATTCTCACTGGTAATGGACATGAGCTTTACATTTGATGGGTTGAAGCATTGCAGGGATGCTTGGAACATGCTTTGTTATACACATCACTGCTGAGAAACATTACCCCCCCCCCAATGCCTGTGTTCACATGCACTGTTTGGTCTCCCATAAACGTTCACACAAGTATCAAATGTCTTTTGTTCCTCAGCTCTGCTTTATACGCACTTTCCTGTCAGATGCCATTTTGTCAGACAGCTATTCTCCAACAACATGAATTATGGGAAGTAAAACTTTTAGGATGCATGAGAATCCAGAAATGACACAAAATCTTGGTACCATGCAATCATCCCAATGACAAACAGTACTGCAAAAAAAAAAAAAAATGCAAACACATTTGTTGAATAAATTCATTTTCTTGATGACCAAAATCTCTGTTATTATAAAAGAAGCTCCTGACAATAGCAGAAAAGCACCGCAAATTTAGGAAGAACACTGCATATCAAAAGGAAAGTCAAATAATTTCCTTGTATACAGAATTAAACTCTATGAAAAGCAGGAAGGTTCAACTTTTGTCATGCCACTAACATTCACCTCTGACCTTGTGAAATATCATCATAAAATAGATGCTATAACTTTTGGAACAACCCATCTATGTCCAACATAAATTTGCTGCTAAAGA